CGCATTTGAAAGGACTTTCTTTGCTATTATTAGGAATATGATCGGCCATATGTTCTTTTAAATGATCTGATTCTGCAAATGATCTATTGCAAACGTCACATTCATAAGTTGATGTCTCGATTAACTCCTTTTTTACTTCTTCTTCAATTGTAACCTCGGAGTTCATGAATCTTTCTAAACACGTATCATCATCTTCAGAACACGATTCAGATTTACCGATAACGTCGGGATCATCAAAATTATCCTCTATTTCGAGTTTAACGTCTTCTGGTGAATATTCTGGTGGTTCAATTTTAACTGCTTGATCATTCATAGACATAATTGTTTCCTCCGACATTTTTAAATATTTTCACTGGTAATACTCACCAAAAAACCAAAAAAAAATAATTGTGTACTAAATACAAATAAAATAGTTGTGTACTGAATAATAGACTAGTTTTATCAATATTTTCAATATGATAAATAAATTTGACTAAATTTACATTTATTATTTGACATTTGAAGCATAGAGTTCATTTATAGCAGTAGAGAGAGTAGAGAGAGTAGAGTCATAGAGAATCATAAAGGATTAGAAAAGACTCACCACTCGTTTCTCGCTTCCGATTTTTACGTTAACAGTACTAGTTCATAGGTCAAACGTGATGGCGCTATACATGGGGAGTTATCTCCGAACAAATGTATATTACCCTGTCTTGGAAAGGACTACTATTTTTAGCGAAAAAAATATGTCGCTACTAGTTTCAAAATATGAAAAACGTCAAAATTACTCGCTTAGATTTGGTCGCCATTTTCTCTCAAAGTTTGTGGTTCGATGTTGTTTCTGTAATTAATTGTATTCAAGTGAGCATTTATGTGAAATTTAATATGGCAAAATGTAACGCACCAACTTGTGGTAACTTCAGAAATAATATAAAAATGCACTTCTTTCCGGCTTTATGAAGTGAACAAATTAGAAATGTCCAATTATATTTCACAGAATAGTTCTCATGTCTATAGTTCACAGTGATCATGGGGAGTTATCTTCGAACAAATGCGCGTTGCACTGTTTTGGTCCTGAGTAGTTTCAATTTTTAAAAACAGATGGCTCATGTACACTCAATTTCAACTACAAATTGTCGTGGTTCATGCAAGTGGCTGTCAAGTATTTGATCGCTGTATGGCTGTACGAATAACCTAACTTTTTGAACTCGTGTTGTTTCTAATTAATTAATTTTGTTTAAGTGAACATTTGTGAAATTTAATATGGCAAAGTGTTTTTATAGTACCCAAAAAAGTGTCAAGTGCGGGTTAAAATATTTAGCTATTCCAATACAAGTTTCCGCAAAGGTATTTTTTAATAATAATTGCAGCAATAATTATATATAATCAAAATATGTCAACATTTTATTATATTGAATAGGTGTCTTGGGGGTACCTGCAAATTGCTGCAAAATGCACGAACAAAGCGCAGGAGTACTTTTGACAACCAAGGAATGCAATATGTAATGACAAGAAGGATTCATAAACAATGCAATAATTTAAGGAATAAGTCGTACAAAAAGTCTCCAAAGGTCTGCTATTTTTGGAGACAAATATTTATTTTGCCATGTCCTCAAACATTGAGAAAGTTGCATTCAGAGATACAAGTGTATAGCGGTATTTATGAGTGTCTATTTAAAACATTAGGTTCAGCTATTTCTTTTAAAAAGTATTAGTAGCAGATACTGTGTTTTGATGTTTGATGAAATACCATTATCTTCGGAATTGTTATATGATTGGATTGAATCTCATATTGTTGAAGTTGCAAAACAGTTATTCAGCTAGTATGGTTTAAATGTTCATCAACGTAAGTTCATTGTTATATTTAATAAGATTATCTATTACATTAGCAAATGTAAACACTTATAAAGAGAGTCTATACCATACATAATATTTTAATGTATTTTGATTGAAGATTAGTGTTATAATATTCTTCAAATAAAACTTGTGTAACATCCCAATATAATGTTTAAATTCAAGATATATTTGTTACCGACCTTGGGAATCAAAAATATTGCTTTTATCTTTTGATTCATAAACAATTGTATGTGCATAAAACATTATTCTGTTCATTGTAAACACTTTGTTGATCTTTTATGGCAATTTCAATGATAATGTTTTTATGATGGAACATGGCTAAATGTAATGTTATAAAACACTCGTACAGAAACTATTCAAAGGTTTTGTTAAATGCAACTTTACTATTAATTCATTAGATAGCGAAATAACTATTACATGCAGAATTAATAAAGAACAATGTCTCGTAAATGAGTTTTAATCCTAGGAATTTCAATTTCTCTCAATTTTGATATCATATATATATATATATATATATATATATTATGTTTTTAAGACTTTTTTATTTGTGAAGTATTTGTACCTTTTAACAAATTATTTGTTTTTTTCTTAACCCTTTAAATTTTTGTATTATTTGTCATTCCTTCTAAATTTGTAATTTCATTGCGTGCTCCTGTGCTTGTAGTTTCTTCTTAGTTTTAAAGATTTTAATATATTAATATTAGTCATTAAGCAATTAATATTAGTCAGTTATTTGTGCTTAGTTTAGTTAAATACTTCTGTAATTTTCTTCACTTAGATATTTAGTTTTTGAAATATCATTTAAGCATAATTGTGAAATTATAATACTTTTATAATTATGTATAATAATTATTATATTTTCAAACATTCCATAACTGTAATTATAATTGTTAATATAAACATAATTTCAATTGTTCTTTAAACATATGTAATATCTTTGAAAATATATATTTTGTATTTCGTATGATTTGTTCTTATTTCCAATATTAAAAATTATTCAGGTTTTTGGGGCTGTATACGATACGTACAAATTAAGAAGTAAAACCAGGGGTAATTTAAATATTAAACATGTGCTGCCATCTATTTTTAAAAATTTGTATTTCAATCGAGGTAACGTCAAACCGCCAGACATAGCGATCTATTATACTTGTTTATCTATGACAGTGATATAAGAAGAGAAAGACAATCTGATATATGGCCAGGAGAACACTCTGCAACTCCAGTGGAAAAGGTAATAATAATTCTGAATATTTTAATACCATCTGCTATTACGACTTGATATTATATTACAACATGTTCTGTTTATTACTTGGGAACACAAATTGCAGCAGAATCTAGTGACTAAGGATAGGAGTGTTTTGATGCCGAGGGCATGTAAAATGTATGACACATCCATTATATGTTGAGGGAGTTAAGAAGGATAGACAAACAATGCATAGATAAAAGAATAGTATTAGATAAAAGAAGAAACAATGCAATAATTTAAGGTATAAATTGCAACAGAGTATAAGATGCTCAGAAATATTCTTAACATTCGAGCCGAAAGGACTGCTGCGCTGTTCTATTGACACGATCGAATCATAAGAAATTGAAGATTTTGTACAATGCAACTTTATTAATGATTGATTGGAAAGCAAAATAACTATCAAATGCAAAGTTAATGTTAAAGAAGAATGACTCATAAATGAATTTTAATTCTTGGAATTTAGTTTTCTATCAATTTTGATATCAATATATATATATTATGTCTGTAGGATTTAACTTTTTAAATTTGTTCATTATTTGTCATTTCTTTTAATTATACTATTCCATTATCTATAGTATAATTAATTTTAGTCAGTTCGTGTAAATTCATTAGACTTATGAAAGCATTTACAATATTTTTGTCTGGTTGTTATATATTGTTGATCATTAAGGAATTCATATTGATCGTTCCTTTCAAGTTTAACATTTTATTGTAAATGCTTCTACACAATCTCTGTGTAGCTGTTATATATTATTGATCATTAAGTAATTCATATTGATCGTTCCTTATGATTTTAACATTTTATTGTAAATGCTTCTACACAATCCCTGTCTAGTTGTTATATATCATTGATCATTAAGTAATTCATATTGATCGTTCCTTTTAAGTTTAACATTTTATTGTAAATGCTTCTACACAATCTCTGTGTAGCTGTTATATATTATTGATCATTAAGTAATTTATATTGATTGTTCCTTTTGATTTTAACATTTTATTGTAAATGCTTCTACACAATCTTTGTGTAGCTGTTATATATTATTGATCATTAAGTAATTCATATTGATCGTTCCTTTTGATTTTAACATTTTATTGTAAAAGCTTCTACACAATCTCTGTCTGGTTGTTATATATTATTGATCATTAAGTAATTCATATTGATCGTTCCTTTTAAGTTTAACATTTTATTATAAATGCTTCTACACAATCTCTGTGTAGCTTTTATATATTATTGATCATTAAGTAATTCATATTGATCGTTCCTTGTAAATTTATCATATCATTGTGAATACTTTTTTTTAGTTACTTATAATTGTAAAAATATAATACTTATTATTGTGTATATATTGATTATTACATTTATAAAAATTTTAATTTTTATGTAAAAATGTTTGTGATACATTTGAAAATATATTTTATACTTCGTATGTTTTTTTTTCTCATTTCCAATATAAGAAATTATTTAGGTTTTCTTATTTTGAATTACGTATGCGAACCATATCTAGGAATAATACCAGCGGTTGATTTATATACTGAACAAGTGCTGCCTCCTTCAGATCGCTAAAAACATAGATAAAAGAAGAATATAAAAATATTAAAATGAAGGTAATGTCTAATGTCAAATGGCCTCACATAGCGATCTATTTATGTTTACTTATCTACTTATCTATGCTGATAGCCATCTGATCTGATAGCCTGCTTTAGTTGAGATTTAGTCTGGCGCTGCAGTCACACGCATAGCGGAAAAGACGCGCCACGATTAATGTCTCATCTTTCTAGAAATATACGCTCTATACTTCAAATGTCAATAAATGTAAATTCAGTTGATATCATTTATCAAATTGAAAAAAATTATTCATAAAACTAGACTATTATTTAGCACACAACTATTTTCTAATTTTTTTTGTGAAAGTTTTTAAAAATGTCGGAGGAAACAATTATGTCTATGAATGATCAGACAATTAAACTTGAACCACCAGAATATTCGCCAGAAGACATTAAATTCGAAATAGAGGATGATTTTGTTGATCCCGACGTTATTGTTAAATCTGAATCGTGTTCTGAAGATGATGATACCTGTTTAGAAAGATTCATGAATTCCGAGGTGACAATTGAAGAAGAAGTCAAACAGGAGTTAGTCGAGACATCAACTTATGAATGTGACATTTGCTATAGATCATTTAATTTAAAAGAGCATATGGCCGATCATATGCCTAGTCATAGCAAAGAAAGTCCTTTTAAATGCGAAATCTATTACAAGACTTTTGATCGATTAGAGGTTTTGAAAAGGCACATGCTCATTCACAATGGAATACGCCCCCATGAATGCAATATATGCAAAAAGACATTTACGCGATCAGATAGTCTGAAAAGACACATGCTGATACATAGTGGAGTACGTCCCCATGAATGCAACATATGCAATAAGACATTCACATATATAAGTAATCTGAAAAGTCACAAGCTGAAACACAGTGGAGTACGTCCCCATGAATGCAATATATGCAGCAAGACATTCACAGAAAGAGCTCATCTGAAAAGTCACATGCTTATTCACAATGGAGTACGTCCCCATGAATGCAATATATGCAAAAAGACATTTTCGAGATCAGATAATCTGAAAGTACACATGCTGATACATAGTGGAGTACGCTCTCATGAATGCAATACATGCAATAAGAAATTCAAACGATCAAGTCATTTGAAAAAACACATGCTGATTCATAAACGAGAGCTTTGCTATAAATGAGAAGTATGTAATAAGGAATTTACTCAATCGAAGGATTTGAAGAGACACATGGCACTTCACAGTCAGAAGCGTGGTGAAGATCAATGAAACATTAGCATATTTGTTCACTTAAATTTAAATATTGTAAAATTTTCTTGCATGTAATGGAATGTATAAATATAATGAAATATACAGTACACATTAAATAATATCAATATTATTTCATAATTTTTTATTCATATTTTAATTTTTATAAATTAAGTATTATTAATGTGGATTAGTAACCATTGGTTTCAGTATTTGCACTTGAAGGACAAATTGGTCAGGAGTAGCTTTAACTTTCTCTAAGATCGTATTTAATTTTAAACAGAAGTTTAGAAGTTATTATTATGAATTTTATATTATAGTTATTATTATGAATTTTGGTGGAACTTCCCGTACCGTAACGAAATGTTCGTGGAATACTGAATGTTTTCAAATAGATTATTATAAATATTGTAACATTGTCTAATATTTATAAGAATTATATAAACTGAATTGCAGAGTTGAAATTATTTGTTTAGAACTATAGTCAGAATTAATAAAATCTGAATTATTTTCGATATACAAAAAATTTAAAAAAAAAAGTTGAAACAAGAAACTTTTTTTTCCAAAATCAATTTTTTTGTTAAGACAAGCAGAAAGTTTTTTGAATCAATTAAACTGGACGCTTAGTTCTCTCAAAAACTACCATATTTTGTACATTTAGCTCCGTATCTTCGAAATGGCTGGGCCTGCCTTTGCTAAAAACTAACAACCACTTCTCCCAATCATTACTAATTGAATGTTTTTTAGTTCATTCAAATCGGATGCTCCGTTCTCTCAAAAACTCGATTTCTATTTTCTGCGCTCTTTGCTTTCCGTATCTCCGTAACGGCTGGACCTGCCTTTGCCAAAAACTAATCAGCACATCTCCTTGTCAATAAGAATCAAATGTTTTTTGAGCCATTCAAATCGGTTGATCCGTACGCCCGAAAACGTGGACAAAAATTTGTATACATACACACTCTCACACACACACCATTTTTTCTGAGGTATGCCAAAATGTTCAGAAACCTTCAAAACGTCGAGAAATGTAAAAATTTTCAATTCCGATTTGCGGCCCATTACAATACCCTACGGGAGTTAATAATTAATCTAGCTACATTTTTATCTAATATTATATTTAGATTGAACACGTAATTTAGAAGTTAGTAACAAAAATACTAAAAAATGTCTTCATTATCCAGAAATATACCACGTAAAATTTAAAATGTTAAAATGAGCACAAATTGTACAACATTTTTGTCTAAGAAAATGTTTTAGAGAATTTATTCAGCTATATTTTTTGAAGACAGTATTTAGTTATAATAAGTAATTTACTTAAAAGTTATTAATAAAAATACTGAAAAATATCTTTGTACCTCACAAAGTTCTGGACGTATCAATATTAAGCAATTTCAAAGATATTTTAAAAATATAAAAGCAATTTTACAATATTTTCACATAACAAAGTATTTTAGAGAATTTTCTTGGCTATAATGTTGTCGAAAACTAAAGTTAGTTATAAAAAATAATTTAAAAGTTATATTAATCAAAGTACCGAAAAATGTCTTTGTACCCCACAAAGCTCTATATGTATCACTATTAAGCAACTTCAAAAATATTTTAAAAATATAGGCACAAATTTTACATAATGTCTAAGAAAATATTTTAGAAAGTTTATTCAGCTACAATTTTTTCAAAGATAGTGTTAAAAGTTATAATGAGTAATTTAAAATTTGTACAACAAATGGCCGGCACGTTTTCAACATTATGGAAGTTTAGAAATATTTTAAAAATATAAGCAGAATTTTTACAATATTTTCATCTAAGAAAATATTTTAGACAATTTATTTAGCTATAACTTTGCCAAAGACGGTATTTAGTTATAATAAGTCATTTAAAAGTTATTAATCAAAATACAGAAAAATACTACAAGTACTACAAAATGGCCGGCACAAGCATCTTTAAAGCACACATTTTACATCATTTTTGTTTAAAACTAGCTGTAAGTGGAATTATGTCTTAAGGCAATTAAAGCATCGTGCCTTAAGGCAAATTGCTGGAATTTCCCGTAACAAAAATTATTATTTTTTTAAAAACGATAAACATTTTTGAAAAAAATTTACTTTGAAAAAATAAGATTTTTGAGAAACTATAAATTGGACAAAAAATTACTTTTTTTTGAAAAAATTTTTTTTTAAAATAAATAATTTTTTTTTTAATTTTTTTTTTTTGAAAAAAAAAAATTTCTTTATTTTGACATATTGTGGAAGATCTGAACATGATCTGAACTTTCTTTTCAAAGCAATCGTACTGCTTTAACTGCATAGGGACAAAATATAAAGCGCGTAAGCCCCGCGTCGCTGTCTAACGCATAAGCATTGGTACGGAACCCCTAGGAATGTTAACAAAATGTATACTTATTGTTAAAATCTCTATAAAATATCTGATAATTTGATGTGCATATGTCTGATGATCATTTTTGACCGCCAAATGGCTCATTTTTTTACTTTTTCCTCCATACCTCCGAAACCGCTAGACCTACCTTCATGAAAATTATATCGATTCTTCATCTTGTCAATACAAGTGAAATGTTTTTTGAATTATTCAAATCGGACGCTCCGTTCTCTTAAAAACTGAGTTACCGTTTTCGGAACTTTTTGCACCGTATCTTCGGAACGGCTTGACCTGCCTTCGCCAAAAACTAATCAGCACGTCTCCTTATCAATACGGATCGAATGATTTTTGAATTATTCAAATCGGTTGATCCGTGTTCCCGAAATCGTCGACGAAAATTTGTATCCGCACATACCTACACACACGCACATACATACATACACACACACACACACACATACATCCATTTTTTCTAAGGTATGCCAAAATGTTCAGAAACTTCTGAAACGTAAAGATATATAAAAAAAATTTATTTTCGATTTTTTTGCGATTACTATAACTTGCCCTACGAGAAGTTAAAAATGTTTTACGAAATTTATTCAACAATAACTTTGTTAAAGATAGTATTTAGTTGTAATAAGTAATTTAAAAGTTATTAATGAAAATATAAATAAATGTCCGTATCAACTTCTCTCCATCAGACAAACACTTTACATTGGAATATTCATAAAAAAATTCGTTCTAAATATAATTAAATTTATTTTTTCTAACATTTTAGGGAAATATTTTATTTAAATGCTTTAAAATGTGTATAATTTAATTACTAAAATATTTAATTAATATTTTTCTAATAAATGATTACTTACTTTTTGGTACTTTCACGTTAACATCTACAAAACCATTATTTTAACTAGAAAAATTAAAATCACTATTAATTAATTTCACACAGAACACTTGAATAAATCCGATTTAATTCGATTAAATAAAATATTTATACAAAGCCGACGAAAGTCACTTTAAAACTGATTTTAATTCAGAAAAATATTTAATGCATTGCAATTATTACATAATAATACACAGTTACTTTGTGCTGTAAATTCAGGACATTTATTCGTGATTATGTCGATTACTCAACATCTATAAATTTTATATGAATGCTGTATAAGAGGAAATTATAGCTGGATAAATTATCTAAAATATTTACTCAGACAAGAACTATGTAAAGTTTTTGTTTCTATTTTAAAATATTTTTAAATTTGCATAGACAATGTAAGACATTTTTTAACATTTTTGTTAATAACATCTAATCTGTATTTTGTAACTAAATATCATGTTTGATAGAATTATAGGTAATTAAATTATCTAAAACATTTTTTTAGATAAAAATATTATGAAATCATTATTTATATTTTTAAATTATTTACGAAGTTGCATAAGCTCAAAAGTGATGGTAATGGCGACGAGTGTTGTCTCTAGTAAAGACATTCTTTTAAATTTTTAATAATAATTTTTATCTTCTATTAACTTCTAAACTGTATTTTGTAACTAAATATGATATTAGATAAAATTGTACCTAATTAAATTATCTAAAACATTTTCTCAGAAAAACTGGCTAAAGCTATTGTTTATATATTTAAAATATTTATAAAATCGTATACTCTCATAATAAATTGCCTGTAAGATTTTATTCGTCCGATAAAATTATTAGCAAACATATACTATAATAATTTCAAAAACTCTACACAAAAGTTAAATAATACTATATTAAAAATAGTTTCAATTTGGCGTAAAACTTTTGTAAAAATCTGTATTCTAATAATAAAAGTCTGACTCCAATTTTTTTCCTAAAGCAGTGTTTCCCAACGTGAGGCGCACGCCCCACGGGGGGGCAGTTTGTAATTTTAGGGGGCCAATTTAAAAATTTTGGTGATTTTAATGTAATGTAGTATAGTATCGGTAAAACATTCAACAAACTAGTTGGTCTGGTATTTAGCCTTGAGGCAAGATACATAAACTTCCCGATATGTTTAAATAATTGACTTAATCAATAAAAAATAAATTAATTTATGAGTGATTAAAAGTATTCCGAGTGGATATATTACACATAATTGAAAACGAACGAACACTTTGACTCGGAGTATTTTCTAATAGCAAATTTTCAAAAATTAATAATTTTTATAATTGAACCAGTTTCCAGGACTTCAATGGTTTATTATGTTCAAGACCAAGTACCTTATCATTATACCAAGTAAATAGTCTAATTTTAATTTTAACAAATGTCAAAAGAACTACTCATTTTCTCAAACTTTGATGAATTTTTAAAATTGAACTACTTACTTGTCGTAAGGCCGTAATATTTCAGTAAGTTCTGTAAAACCATGATATATATCGCCAAAAAAGTTTCATAAAAATCGGATTAAATTTTTTTTCAACAGTTAATTACAAGAAAACGACTCGGTAAATTTTCACCTAAAATTAATCACTATCATTCCCAACTAATGTCTTTCGAACAGTTTTTGATTTTTAACTTCCCGTAGGTTAAGTTATTGTAATGGGCCGAA